TGGGTCAATTTTTCTATCATTAATATAGATCAAACATGATCTATCTGGCTTCTGTTTATTCTTTCATAGACTATTATACTACATGGGCAGGAATATTATAAGTGACAAAGACTGGCTTTGGCACAGCTCAGAGGAACTAATAGGAGGTGAAGAGGACATTAACATTTGGTGCTATGAATGACAGGCTGGAGTGGCCATATTCATTTGACGGGCCAATAGGAGACCTGGAAGTGATGATACTTAGCTGAAAGCAATAGGCAGGGGTGAACACTGGATGCACAATGGAAAGCCTGAGAGACAGTGTCACTACGGTTGTGACAAACAAGAGCTGATCCTGTGCTATTGAAAGGCCAATGAACCAGTGAAGATGGTGACACTAGAGCTGTGAGTGACAAGCTAAAGTGGACTCTGTCACATTGAAAAGCCAATAGGAAGCCTGGAGAATGATAATGCTGATACTGTGTATGTCAGGCTGCCCAAATGGAAGGATCAAGGAAAGTCCTGGAGGGCAGTGACTCTGGGACTGTGGCAACAGGTGAGGGATGGCTCTGCCAGCATTGAAAAGTCAATGGGAATTCAGGAGATGGAAGTTCCTGAGCATTTAGGTCAGGTAGAGTGAGCACTGCTAGCACTGAAGAATCAATGGAAATTCTAGAGAATGTGGACATAAAGGCTGTGAGTAACAGACAGAGGCAGACCCTCTCTCATCAAAGGTACAATAGAAGGCTGGGGCAGAGTGTGACACTAAGGATAAGGGTCAAAAAGAAATATGGAGAGTGGTAATGCTGGATCTGTGAGTGACAGGCCATGTTGAATGAATTCTGCTGGCATTGAAGACTCAATGGAAATATTAATACTAGGGCAGTGAGTGACAGGCTAGAGGCAGCCCCTGTCTCCAGTGAAGGACCAATGGAATGCCTAAAGGGCAGTGACTCTCTGGTTGTGAGTTATAGCCAGGGTAGCCTTTCCACTATGAATGTCTTAAATGAAGCAGTGACCCTGGGACTGTAACAGGATAGAAAAGTGACACCAGCATTGAAGGTCACTTAGGAAGACTGGAAAATGGTGATGTTTGGACCATGAGTGACAGGTAGGGATAGGACTCATTACATTGGAGAGCCACATTGATATCCCTTTGTCTAGACTCTCAAATTCGGGACCAACAGTGGATGTAATGGCTATGTCACTGGACTCCCATGTAGTCGACTGTGGTTCAAGTCCCAGACCCAGTGGCTTAAACTCACACTGGGCGCATGTGCATGCATGCCCAAGATCCCGAGAGGAGAATGAAGGAGAAGGGATTATGGCATGGCCTTTCCCCCGGGGGTGTGTGATTTCTCGCTTTCTGTCTCTGTTTCTCTCTGTCTTCCTGGTGAGCACATGCACCCTATAGCAAAAACCTCTACAAAAAAAAAAAAAAAAGAACTCACACAGGAGAGAAACCCTATGAATGCTCTGAATGTGGGAAAACCTTCAGTGGAAAGTCACATCTCAGTGGACATCAGAGAACACACATGGGAGAGAAGCCTTTTGAATGCAATGAATGTGGCAAACCCTTAAGAGACAAATCAACACTGCATAGACATCAATGAACTCATACAGGGGACCAGCAGATGGCATAATGATTATGTCGCTGGACTCCCACATAGTTGACTATGGTTTGAGTCCTGGATTTGGGGACTTCAAACTCACACTGGGCATGTGTGCATGCATGCCCAAAATCCTGAGAGGAGAATGGAGGAGAAGGATTGCAGTGTGGCCATCCTCCCTGGGGCTTAGGGGGAGTGATTTCTTGCTTTCTCTCTCTGTCTCTCTGGTGAGCACATGCGCCCTATAGCAAAAATCTCTCTTAAAAAAAAAAGAACTCATAAGGAGAGAAATATTATATGTATGCAGACTGTGGAAGAGCCTTTACCCTTAAGCTGAGCCTCAGTGCTCATTAGAGAAAACATACAGGAGAAAAAACTGATGGGTGTACTATATGTGAAAAAGTTTTTTCCCAGAAGTCCTATCTCATGTTACATCAGAGAGCCTATACGGGAGAAAAAAATTGAGAAATCCTATGAATGCAATGAATGTGCTAAAACTTTCTTCCAGAAATCTTTATCTCATTATTCATCAGAAAGTGCACACAGAAGAAAAACCCTATGAGTGTAATATGTATGAGAAAGCTTTCTCCCAGAAATCATATCTCATTATACACCAAAAAACACACACACAGGAGAGAAACCCTATAAATGTGATAAATGTAGTAGAGCCTTCAGAGAGAAGTCAAAACTCACTGTACATCAGAGAAATCACATTCAACAGAAACCTTATGACTGTCCTGAATATGATGAAAACCTTCCAGGAGTCAAAGCTCAGGACAGATTAAAGAACTCAGAAGAGACACTTTATGAAAGAATTGAAAGTGGAAAATCCTTCATAGGAAAGTCAAAGAAAAAGAAAATGCAAAAAGCAGAGGGAGGCATCACTCTTTAGCTAAGATGATCAAAGAAGGCTTTTCTAAGGACATGGCATTTGAGTTTAGACCTGAAAATGGAAAAAAATCCCTAGCCATACCAGAGGATGACTGTTCCATAAAGAAGGAATAGCAATAAGATCCTGAAGCAAAAAATACTTAAAAAAAAAAACTTTTATCATAGCTGTGCATCGAATGACCATTTTACATCAGAGAGGATGTTCAAGACTGAAATCCTTGGAAGACTTTAATATATGAGAGCTGTCGGTTGGAAGCCAAACCTCACTATAAATCTGGGCAAAAGTATTGAGGGAAGCCTAATTTAATTAATTTCAATAAACATAGTACCTTGGAAATGATTTAAGGGAAATATATTTCTAGATTTAATACCAGATTCTTAATAGGAAAGATTAGTAGAATCTACTATTATTAAGCATAGCTATTTTGTCATCTCTAATGACATGGGAATAATTGTCATCTACAAGAAAAAAGGGTTTACTAAATCATATAATGTTGCATATTTAAAGATAACTACTAAAGAAGAAACAAAAATATATAGATTCCAAAGTATTAGAAAGACATAACAAGAACAATACAAAGAAAGGCATCAAATCCAGTTTCCAGAAGTAGCAACACTGGTTAATGCCAGCATTTCTGTCCCAGCCAGCTCTGTGTGCAATATTTGATTGTTTCTTTGCATGGACCTTTCCCCTTTCTAAGCTTGATTATGTAGCCCCAGAAATATTATGATCTGCCTGATAGGTTTTTGGAAGCTCCATTCAATTTTTAAAATTTGTTATGGGGTACATATACTTGCTAGAGAGAGACAGAGAGAAAGTGAGAAAGCATCCCTAAGACGAGATGACCACATTGTGATCCCTTCCCTCCATTCTCCTCTTGGGATTTTGGGCATGTGTATGCCCAGCATAGTTTTCTATCTCCCAGGTCTGGGACTCAGACTGCACAGTCTGCCATGGGAGAATCCAGCCTCCTTATCCTAACCACACCACCAGCTAGCCTTACAAGATCCATTTCTGACTTAAATTCACCAGTGTTTATTTCTGCTGGTTTTGATTAATAACTATCAAATTCAGATATCAGAACCCACAGTGGTGGCACCCTTTATGGAGGGAGATATGCAATTTGGTTATTTAGGCTGGGTGAGGCTGAAGTCACGGAAACTCTGATGGCATTAAGGAAAGGGGCTTATGCATTCCTTGCCATGCAGTAGCAGCTAGCTGTTTTCATGATCATCTGTATGTATTTTTTTTTTGAGAGGTTTTTGCTATAGGGCATGTGTACTCACCAGAAAGACAGAGACAGAGGGACAGAATGTGAGAAATCACCTCCCAGGGAGGATGGCCACACCACAATCCCTTTTCTTCCATTCTCCTCTTGGGATCTTGGGCACGCATGCACACGCACCTGGCGTGTGTTTAAGCCACCGGGTCCGGGACTTGAACAACAGGCGACTACATGGGAGTCCAGCAACATAGCCATTATGCTAAATGTTGGTCCCTGTATGTATTTTTGATAAGTGAATGCCAAAAGCAAGGGTTTGGGTAGTTGAGTTCTTACTCTAACTAAAGAACATGAAGGACTGCTTCCTCATGAGGGTGGTACTTCTACTGGGTCTGCCATTGCAAAGAGAAAGGATGACAAGTTTGAATTCCTAATCACTCTGCTCAAGACATACTGAACCTCAGACATTTTGTAGAAGGAAATTATTGCCTTGTGCATTCATGGAATTCCTTGTTAAAATCCCTAGTCTGTCATTTGAAACTTAGGACTTTGAATTTGAAAGAGAGAATAAGAGGGCTGAGAGTTAGACTAGTGACATGGGGAAGGATGTGGGAGAATATGAATGTTTTAAAATAAATATTTATTTCATTTTATTTATTATTATTATTATCCAATTTGTGCAGAGAGAGATGGGGAGAGAGAGAGAGAGAGAAAGCAAGCCTCCAGGTCTGGAACTCAAACTGTGGTCAGCCATGTGTGAGTCGAGCGCCTACAACACCAATCCCCAAATAGGAATATTTTAAACTCCTAAGTTCACTGAACTTCCTGTGTAAAATCAATCTAACCGAATTATCTCCTGAAGAGATGTTTCTGCTTAAATAAAGAACCTGTAGTGACCTCAACTGAGAGTGATACTTTTTAGTGGAAGCCAATTTTCATATCCCCCATCTCTTGTATAGTAAGCATGTTATGTACTTTACAAATATTAATTCATTTAATCTTCCCAATAACCTCAGCATAGTTACTGTCCTTATCTTTATTTTACAGATAAGACAACCTAGACACAGAGAATTAAGTGCCTCTTCCAAGGCAACACAGCTAATTAGTGGTAGAGGCAGTATTTGAACCCAGGAGGACCTCTGATCTTATTCATTACATTATCCTCCCCCATCCCACTCAATCCTGAGTGATCTGGCATCTCTTCATGAGAGCTTTGAATATACGGAGGAAGTGATTGAATGGGGATACCTCCAGACATTAGAGAAATGAAGAGAGTGAGGCATCAGGGTGTCTCTTTCATTGTTTATAGATACCATCCTTTATTAAATCCACAAAAGAAAGAAAAGAAAGGAAAAAAAAATCTCTATCTCTGGGAATCTGAGTCATGAATTAATTTTCTTTGGGTCAGTTTTCACATTCATATCACACCCCTTGATCCATCCACTTAAATCATGGCCAGAACAGTGCTTGGTCCACGAGTTCCTGGGAAATGAAGGCAGGGAGTGAGAGAGGGTGAAATGGACAGGTTGATGGGGGTAACAGTCCCACTATCCCTGGATAGATCATCCCCATGAACTTACCAGGCAGTCATACTGTTATGTGAGGACACAATCCGCTTAGCACACAAGATGTCATCCAGAATATGGCGGTTGAGCAGGTCTAGGAGGAAGAGAAGGCTATAATGATCTGGTGCAATGAGGACAGGGTGACATTGTATGGAGGGTCCATGGGTTCCTTGGGATTAGATTAACCTCAACTACTACATTGGTTGATTATGGATGACCTTGATTTTTTTCTGTCATCTGGCTATGAATTACCTCAATTGTCATGTTGACTGGTTCTATACAGTCCTATCTCATGCTGACTGATCCTGGATGACCTTGACTGTCATGTTGACTGGTTATGAAAAAAAAAAAATTGTGGGGCCAGCACGTAGTGTAGTGGTTAAGGCACTAGGCTCCTACATGGCTGATCATGGTTCGAGTCCAAGACCCAGAAGCATGAAACTCACACCAGGTGTGTGTGTGTGTGTGTGTGTGTGTGTGCGTGTGTGTGCGTGTGTGTGTGCCCAAAAGCTTAAGAGGAGAATGGCGGAGAAGGGATTGCAGTGTGGCCATCCCCCCTGGAGAGTGATTTCTTGCTTTCTGTCTCTCTGTCCCTCTGGTCTATGCACATTCCTTATAGCAAAAATCTCTCAAAACAAAAACAAAGGGACCAGCAGTTAGCATAATGGCTATGTCGCTGGACTTCCACATAATCGACTGCGGTTTGCGTCCTGGACCCGGTGGCTTAAAACTCATGCCAGGCATGTGTGTGTGCGTGCCTAAGATCCCGAGAGGAGAATGGAGCAGAAGGGATTGTGGCATGGCCATCCCCCTGGGGGGTGACTTCTTGCTTTTTGTCTTTCTGCCTCTCTTTGTCTGTCTGGCGAGCGCACGCGCCCTATAGCAAAAACCTCTAAAAAAAAAACAAAACAAAATCCACAAACAACCAATTCCCATATTCGCTGGTCTTGGATAACTTCAAACTCCATGTCTATCAATTATGGATGACTTCATCTGTTATTTGGTCTAGTACTGAGTGATCTCAATTGCAAATGCTTGTTGGTCCAACACACCCCAACTGCCATGCTGGTTGGTTGGAAAACTACTGAATGTCATGTTGGTCATTTCCAGTGACTTCAAACACTATGTTTTCAGGTCCCAAATAAAGTCAATGCCCATTTTGACTAGTTATGAATGACCTCAATCTTCACATAGGCTAGTCCTGTTCAACCTCAGTCACCGTGGTGCCTAGTCCTAGATGATCTCAACTGCCACATTGGCTGGACCAGGATAACATTAGCTGTCATTTGGCTAGTTATTAATAATCTTAGTCACCATGTTGACCAGTCTGGACAATATCTACTTCCATTTTGATTGGTCACAAATAACTTCAACCTCCACATTGACTGGTCTAGAACCTTGACCTTCATGTTAATGAACACTGGACTACCTCAATCTTTTTTTGGAGAGGTTTTTGCTATAGGGCACGTGTGCTCGCCAGACAGAAAGAGACAGAGAGACAGAAAGTGAGAAATCACCCCCTAGGGTGGATGGCCACGCCACAATCCCTTCTCCTCCATTCTCCTCTCGGGATCTTGGGCACGCACGCACACACGCCTGGTGTGAGTTTAAGCCACCAGGTCCGGGACTCGAACCGTGGTCGACTACATAGGAGTCCAGCGACATAGCCATTACGCTAACTGCTGGTCCCTGGACTATCTCAATTATGACAAACTGAATGACTCCCATTATAATTTTAGCAAGTCTTGAAATAAAACTCTATTCATGTTACTTGTCTTAGACAACCTCAACCTCTATGGTGGCAATTCTGGAAAACCCTAACCTTCAAGTTGACCAATTCTGAGTGACTTCTTCTGTCATGCTGGCAGGACTTGGACAACCTTAACCTCTATTTGAGCTGACCCCAAATAACCTCGGTTTCTATTTTGGCAAGTTTATAACAGTCTCACTCACCATTTTGGCTAGCTTTGAACAACTTCAACTGCTATCGTATTTTTTCCTCCACACCACCACACTGTTGTATGCAAAGCTGTCTCATTTCTGCATGGAAGTAGTTTGTTTCTGTTCTTACAGCCAGATATTTGCTTTTTCTCTCAAAGCCTGGACAACTTCAAACCCAAATCAAGAAATCTCTCCCTCTATTCCACGTGGGGCTAAATTTCCTATCTCCTGAGTCTCAAAAAACTATAGTTTCTATTTTGGGTAAGGTTTGGGAGCTCAGGGTTTTTCTGACCTAGACAACCTCTCAGTATAGTCTGGATAAAGATATGGGGAGTTGTCTTTAATAGTTCAGGGAACTTTTCTCCTTTCTCCACTATTTTTCTGCCTGTTTTGGGAGACTATGGGTTAGACAACCTTGCTCTCTGTGTGTGTGGGGAGTGGGATCAGATAAGAATTCACTGTGTCTCCACTGCTGCCTTACCACGACAATCCATGTGGCAGAGATTCTGGGAAGGTGTGACACCATTATCACACCACCAGGCAGAGTTCAGCTGGAAAATGCCATATTCACTGCTGCCGTCAGGATTGTGATTCACGAAGGAGGTATCAAAGCCACTCTCATAGTGTGCCATGCATAGCCCTGGGGCAGAGAGAGGGGAGGCAGGAGGTAGGCAAAGTGCCTGGGAATAGGAAAAGCTAGTATGAGGGGAGAGAGGACAGGATGGTTGTATCAAATGTGAGAGTAATGATCTCAGTTTGATGGTGGGGATGTTGATGACTCTAGTGAGATATCAGTGACAGTGGTGGTTATATTGTGATGATATTCATGGTGATAATAGTGGTGATCATACTGATGGTAGTGATGGTGTTTATAATAGAGATGGAAGTGATTATTGTGAAGGCAATGATGGTGATGACATTAGAGTTAATTAATTAAACTACTCATGTGATCAGAGAGGTGATACATGCAAAGGGGCTTGGGTCTGAGTGTGGTGGGTGGTAGATGTGGATGGGCCTTGGGGCAGCTGGAATCTCACAGTCTCCAATGGTGTAGCCCCTGTAGCCATTGAGGCCTGCTTTCTCCAGCTTTCTTGCCAGCTCACAGCGCTCGTAGATCTTGGCATCCACAGTGGCAACCATCACTATGGCCAAGGTCACTACCACAGTGCCCCAGGACTGCATTATAACAAGCTCTCCTAGCTGACTCCTTGCTCTTGACTCACCCTGTGGTGTTTAGAATTAGGGGCATTCTAGAACTCTAGGCTCTATGAGCAAAGGTGTAAGTGATAGATTTTGGAACATTAGAGATCTGACTACCTTGCCACTTTGCCCAGAGCCAGCTCCGTTAGAGAACAAGAGACATACACGAGAAAACAAAACAAAACAAAACAAAATAAAACATACACATGGTTCCTGACTTAATGATGGTTCATGTTTTTTCAACTTTACAAGGGCATGAAAATGATATGTATTTAGTACAAACCATACTTGAGTACCCATACAACTATGTTTTCACTTTCATTACAGTAGTCAATAAATTACATATGGTTTTTAATATTTTGCTGTAAAACATGCTTTGTATTAGATGAGTTTGCCCAACTGTGGGCTATTGTAAGTGTTCTGAGCACATTTAAGGTAGGCTAGACTGGGCTAGATACGATGTTAGGTAACCTAGGTGTATTAAATGCATTTTCAGCTTATGATATTTTCAACTTATAATAGGTTTATTGGGACATAGCCACATTGTAAGTCAAGGAGCATGAGTTCTGACATATATACACAGAGCTGGAAGAAGAAATGCAGAGATGTCAGAAAGAGATGCAGGGAGAAAGGAATTGGGGACATAGAAGGGAGATAGGACTTGGGTAGTTGGCGGCATACTGGGCCCACACTCCCCTAACATTGTTCACTCTACTCTCATTACTCATGCTCTATCACTTGGTTTTCTCCATTTCTACTCACTCTGCCCTTCATCATCTCCATACTGTCTCTGCTGAGTAATAACTGCCTACTACCACCTCTGATTCTTCATGCTCTGCAAAATATGACCACCATGCCCTCATCCTGTGCCCCTTATTACCTCCATTTTTTCATTGTCTTATGCTATAATGGAATACCTGAGACTGGCCAATTCATAAAGAACAGAAATTTAATTCTTCACAGTTCTAGGTTCAGGAAGTGCAAGATAAAGGTTCTGGTGTCTGGTGAGGACTTATCTTGTTGCACCCTCACATGCTTTTTTTTGCTGTTTGCATGTTTTCCTTAGAGAGTTGTCTGTTTGGCTCATTTGCCCATTTATGGAATACTACTTAGCCATAGAAAACAATGAGACTCTGGCATTTGATAGAAAATGGATGAATATGGAAGATTTGCTGCTGAGCAAAGCAAGCCAGACTATGAAAGAGAGGCATTGTATGTCTCCACTCAATATATACCAAATATCTGCACTCTATAGCAGAAACTGAATGGTTGAAAGGTATGAAGGCATGGAGACCAACTGTGGATACTAGAGGTAGTGTAGGAGGAGGGTGGGAAATGAGGGAGGGTGGAAGGGAGGAGAACAAGGGGGAAAAGGAAGCAGCAAAACATTTAAGGGACACAAAAATGGAGAATTATCTGTTGATAATATGTATAGTAATATCTTTGACTGAATCACTATACAGTGTATTTGGGATCTTTGACTGAACCATTATACAGTGTATCTGGGATTCATTTGGTATGCTGTACTGATACACAGTGATTGAATGGGAAAAAAAAGAGGCAGAGAGAGAGAGAGAGAGAAAGCAACTCCCAATGTGGTATGGTCATGCTGCAATCCCTCGATTTCTTCTTCCTTTCTGGATTTGGGGCATTTACACACACAGTCCCAGTGTTTTTCTCAAGCTGCCAGGTCTGGGATTCAAACTGCATAGTCAGCCATGTGGGATCTAGTTCCCTAAACCACTAGACCATGGTCCCTTTATCCCCATTTTATAGATGAGGAAACATAGCATAGAGAAGTTAAGAGTCTGACCCTAGGCCACACAGCTTGTAGATGAGGGTTTGAACTCAGTCTGTCTTCCGTCACGTTTGCTTGTGTCTGTTTCTTCCCTGCTGTGTTCCCAATTTCTAGTACACAACCTGGCACACAGAAGGTGCTTAAGCAAGTCCCTATAGAGTTCACATTCTAGTGCAGCAAAACAGGCCAACTAGAGGCCAGCAGATGCCATGGAGGTTAAGGCAGCTGGATTCTACATGTCTTGAAAATTACACTGGATTGGGACCAGCAGTTAGCGTAATGGCTATGTTGCTGGACTCCCACATAGTTGACTGTGGTTCATGTCCCAGACCCGGAGGCTTAAAACTCACACCGGGTGCGTGTGTGTGCGTACCCAAGATCCCGAAAGGAGAATGGAGGAGAAGGGATTGTGGTGTGGCCATCCCCCCTGGGGGGTGATTTCTCGCTTTCTGTCTGTCTGGCGAGTGCACACAGCCCCAAAAAAAAAAAAAAAAAAGAAGAAGAAAATCACACTGGATTTGTGTGCATCCATGCTCAAAATCCTGTAGGAGAATGGAGAGGAAGAGATCAGTGTTTCGATCCCCCTGAATGGGTGATTTCTTACTTTCTCTCACTCTTGCTCTGCCTCCAGCTAGCACACACACCCTATAGCAAAAATAAAATGAAAAAGAATTAAATATATATGTATTTGAACGTTAATATATATGATGCTAGATCACTTCAGATAACCTTTAAAACAATCAGATCCTTCTTATGGCTTCCCATTACGTCCAGAGTGAAATAAGAGCTCTATCTGTTGCCGTCACCCATGCTTCTTACACTCACATCACATTGGCACTGTTTCTGCCTACCCAAAGAAAGCAAGCACTTTTACACTCCCTTCATCGCCAGTGTGTCTGTGTGTCTCATATCGCCATTTATTGATCTTCATCAGTTTGTTTGTCTACATATCGACCTACTGTCCTTCAAGCTCTCATATGTACACTCTCAACCCTAGCCACCGGATGGAGTCAGGTTTTTCCCTACCTCCTAATCTTTTGTGCACAGAGAGCAATTCTGTCACGCATCCTGTCTTCCTGTTCAATTGCACCTGCAGCCCTCTTGGCTGACCTCCAAGTTCGAGACACAAAATTCCCGCCAGCTAGAATCTTTTCTTAATCTGGGCAAGTCCCCTCCTCGCCCTGCCTTACGGAAAGCTGGAGTCTAAAGTCCTAGGAACGCTGGCCTTCGCAGAACAAAGTAAACACCTGATCTGCTCTGTCCTAGAAGGGAACAGACCCGGTGGGCGCGGCTATCTCCCCCAGAGCAGTGATGTCACCGGCTCCACCACCCTCCCTCCGCGCTTGCGCTGCGGCCCCTTCACCTCCTCGGCCCCATGTTGACTATTGGCGGACGCGGTCTCAAAGGCACTACTGAGCATGTGCAGAACTGCCGTGCAACCCTTTAAGCTGCCTTGCCAGACAGTAGGTCCCGAAGCGGAAGTGCTCGCCGGGGCCAGTTCTTGTAACGGTCTCTGCAGCGAGCAGAAAATCTGTTGTCGAGAGAGAGACAGAGACAGAGACAGAGACAGGGAGCCAGAGAGAGAGGTTGTGGGGGGCTAGTGCTAGGGGTAGTGGGCTGAGTGATAGGGAGTTGTGGGAGATGAGTGAAGGGTGGGGGGTTGCGAGGGTCATTTGATACGGGGTTTGTGGGTGAGATATAGGGACCTCGAGAGGTCATTGAATGAGGGTCTGGGGGACTCAGTGGTGGACAAAGTTATGGGACTAGTCAGGATCGATCCGGGGCTTATTAAACTTTGGCCTTTACACATTTTCCAGCACAGTGACCTGCGCTAAGGGTTTATGCGCATCCCTCAGGCTTCTCTTCAGATGCGCCCCGCCTCTCCCTCTGCCTCTACTAGTCTTCCCCAAGCTCTAAGGTAGGGGTTTGGGGTGAATGCTCCAGCTGAAGTGAAACCACCTGAAGGCCTCTTTCCGGCTCCTGGGCAAGACCGCCCCAGTGAGGTGAGGAGAAGGAAGAAGAGGCACTTGAGAGGATTCACCTGACTTTGGGGGGAAGGCGTTGGTGGGGGGCGTTGCCCCCAGAGTTAGGGGTCTGGGAGAGGTGGGCAAGACCTGGTGCTGCGAAGTTTGCTGGGGGAAGAGGGCAAGACGTTTTGAGATAATAGTTCTAAAGTTTAGTTTTTTGGTTTTAGTAACTTATTTGAATTATAGATTAATTAGGAAACAACAACAACAACAAAAAAGGAACTAATTTTACACTGTACAGGCATTTGAATATTTGTTCTTAGACATATTTCAGGTGTGTATAGGGGTATGTCTTTTTAAACATTTAACATAGTTTTTAAATGGGTTCCTGCAGCTTTATAATCTACTTTTTTTTCAGTTGGAAGTTTATTGTAATTCAACTTACAAACATTTTTACTACTTAAAAACTTTTAGTTGAGATATATGTACCACAAAATACATAGATAAGTGCACCGTTCCATATAACATTTTAAGCAACAGAATAGCATTTTATCCCTTCTATTTCTTTATTAATTCCTTATTATGAATCATATAGAATTAAGTTTGGCATTCATTAAAATCAATGCAGAGGTAAAGAGAAATTATGATAAATTATTTGATTAAGAAAAATACTTGGAAATACAGTTTCTGAGTCACTACATAATTTAATATGTGTATAAAACCTTTTGTGTTTAGTGTTTATGTGAAAAAAGAGTGAAGAATGAGAGTGGAAAATGGAATTTGAATGCAGAAAAATTGAAATATAAGTCTAGTTTTTTTGTAGTATGCATTTCCCACAAATCTTTCAAAGACTCCTTGCACAAAGATGGTTGTTAAAACCACACTGTGACCCAAACTCTTCCACAAAGCAACCTCATGGCTAGCTGGTGGGAAAGGATTTCTAGGCAGATAATTCTAGGCACTGAAAGCCTGGTGGGGTCTCCTCATATGCTCTACTCTTCTCCACTTATTCCAGCTCAGCCTTCATATATTTCTACCTTTTTCCAAGAAGAGCAGGAAATGGCCAAATCCCATGTAAGTATGTTGTCTGACTTTTCATTCCTCTATTTTACAGTGAATGTGATTTGTAGGAATCTCTTTAAATCAGGTTTTTTTTTTATTACTATTGAGTTATTTCAGTGTTTAAAATATATTTTGTATATTAACCCTTTATCAAGATATGTAATTTGAAAATTTTGAGTCATCAGAAAAGTCATGACGTATTTTTCTATATTTTTCTATGCAAAAATGCATCATGACTTTTCCAATAACCCAACATTTTCTTCCAATCCTAGATTGCCTTTTTTACTGTTTAATTTTTTAAAATTTATTTTTATACATTCAGCTACTGTATATCATTACAGCTTATAAAATGAATTTTCCCAGCATGACTACACTGTATATTTAGGTCCAGTTAGTAGGTTGTCTTTTCACTGTTAATTATTTCCTTTGCTATGCAGAAGCTTTTTATTTGATGTAACCCCATTTGCGTATGTTTTGTTTTTATTGGTTGAGGTTCTGGGATCAGATCCAAAAGAATCATTGTCCAGACCAGTGTTGTGTAGTTTTTCTCTTTTATTTTCTTCTAGTAGCTTTAGTTTCTCTATTCTGCTCTATTGACATGTGGTATTCACAAATAACACACCATCTTCATTACTACAGCTTAATGGTACCTCTTAAATCAGGAAGTGTGAGTTCTCCAACTTTATTGTACTTTTTCAGTGTTTTACTATTCTTGTTCCTTTGTCTTGGTCTTTCTGTATAAATGTTAGAATAATCTTGTTATATATCTAAAAATTATCTTGCTACGATTTTGATACAAATTGAGTTGAGCCTGTAGATCAGTTTGGGAGAATTGACATCTTTACCATGTTGAGGCTTTCCATCATGTATATGGTATGTCTCTTCATTTATTTAGATCTTCTTTGATTTATTTCATAAATGTTTTGTCATTTTTCAGCATACAGGTCCTATCATGTATATTGGCCTTCTTGGGCTACTATAACAAAATACTATAGACTGGCTGCTTTGAACAACAGAAATTTATTTTCTCACATTTCTGGAGGTAACAAGTCCAAGGTCTAGGTGACAGCAGGGTTGATTTCTGGTGAGGCCTCGCTTTTTAGTTGCTGACAGTTGCCTTCTTGCTGTGTCATCACATGGCCTTTCCTCTGTGGATGCACAGAGAGAGAACGCTGGAGTTCTGTGCCTCTTCCTCTTTTTTTCTAGAGAGAGATTTTTGCTATAGGGTGCGTGTACTCACCAGAGAGACAGAGAGACAGAAAGTTAGAAACACCCCCCCGGGGGAGGGGTGGCCACACTGCAGTCCCTTTTCCTCCATTTTCCTCTCAGGATTTTGGGCATACACACACATGCACCTGGTGTGAGTTTTAAGCAATTGGATCCAGGACTCAAACTGCAGTCAACTATGTGGGAGTCCAGCAACATAACCATTAAGCCATCTGCTGGTTCCTTTTTCTCTTCTTGTAAGGATACCAGTCCTATTGGATTAGGGACATACCCTTCTCACCTCATTTAACTTTAATTACTTCCTTAAAGCTTCTCTCTCCAAATATAGTCATGTTGAGTATTTACATATGCATTTTGTATGTGTGGGGGAGGCACAATTCAGTCCATAATGACATATTTTGTTAGACTTATAGTTTAGTTTTTTTTTAAAGTTTCCTGTAGGGTATGTGCACTTGCCAGAGTGAGACACACACACACACACACACACACACACACACACACAGAGAGAGAGAGAGAGAGAAATCAACTCACACGAGAGCACGGCCAGCTGCGATTCTTTCTCTGTTCTCCTGGGATTTTGGGCACTTGCACACATGTGCCCAGTGTGGTTTTCAAGTCTCTGGGTCTGGGACTTGAATCAAGAAGTCAGCCATGTGGGGTCTAGTTGCTTTAACCTCCACACCACCTGCTGGACTTATGTTTAATTTTTAGAAGTTATTATAAATGTTTTTTTTTATTTTCAAATTCTAATATTCATAGCCAGTGTATAGAAAACTGATTTTTGTTTGTTGACCTGATATCCTGTGATTTTGTTAAACACACTTATTAGTTATGGTAACTTCTTGGTAGTTTCCTTGAGATTCTGTGTAGACCAATCATGTTTTCCATGAATAGAGATAGCTTTATTTTTCCTTTGTAAGCAATATGCCTTTTATTACTGTTTTCCTGCATTTTTGCACTAGAGAACATTTCCATTATAATGCAGAATAGTAGTGGTGAGAGTATACACCTTGGCCTTGCTTTTGAGCTTAGGGGGAAACCATCTAGATTGTCATCATTCAGTTAGATGTTCTCTCCAGATATTTTATGGATCAATTTTATTTTATTTTGCTTTATTTTTTTAAGGAGATTTTTTGCTGTAGTGCACGTACACTTGCAAGAGACAGAGAAAGAGAAAGTGAGAAATCACTCTCCATGGGGGAAGGCCATGTCACAATCCTTTCTCCTCCATTTTCCTCTTGGGATTTTTGGCATGCATGCACACATGGTTGGTGTGAGTTTCAAGCCTCCAGGTCTGAGATTCAAACTGTGGTCAGCCATGTTGGAGTCCAGCACCTTAACGACTATACCACCTATTCGCTCCTATAGATGCCTTTTAACAGGTTCAAAAACTTCTCTTCTTTCGCTAATTTCCTGAGAATTTTTATTATGAATGGCCATTGAATTTTTCAAAGGCCTTTTCTAGATCAGCTGGTATGATCAAATGATTATTCTTCTCTAGACTTGATAGATACACTGATTGAATTTCAAACACAGAACCAGCCCTGCATTCCTGAAATTAACACTACTTGGTCAAAGTATATTATTCTTTTTATGTATTGGTACTTTTTTTTTTTTTAAAGAGATTTTGTTATTGGGTATGTATACTCACCGGAGATACAGAAAGAAACAGAGAGACAGAAAGTAAGAAATCACCCCCTTGGGGGGGTGGCCACACCGCAATCCCTTATCCATTCTCTTGGGATTTTGCACATGCGTGCACATGCTTCTGGCATGAGTTTAAGCCATCTGGTCTGGCACTCAAACTGTGGTTGACTATGTGGGAGTTCAGCGACATAACCATTACACCATCCACTAGTCCTATGTGTTGGTACATTTTATTTCTGTTATTTTGTTGAGGAACTTTTGCACCTGTGTTCATGAGTGATCTGCCTTCAGCTTTCTTTTCTTGTAATGTCTTTCCTACTTGGTTTTAGTTTTAGGGTAATGCTTCATAGAAAAAGTTGGAAAATATTTGTTTCTCTTCAGTTTCCTGGAAAATATTGTATAGAGTTTATGTTATTTATTCTTTAAATATTTGATGAGTGATATTGGTGAAACCATATGTGTCCACAGTTTTCTTTTTGGGAAAGGCTTCTATGTAAAAATTCTATTTCTTTATTACCTTTAGGACTTATATTTTTTTATTTTTCATCATCTCATGTGAGGTTTTTGTTTTAGTTTTTTTTTTTTTAATTTTTTTGCCATAGGTCATGCACACTCTCTGGAAACAGCCTCCAGAAGGAATGGCCATGCTGCAGTCCCTTCTTCTCCATTCTCCTTTTTGAATTTTAGGCACACATGCACATGCACCCAGCATGAGTTTTTTTTTTTTTTTGTATCAAAGTACAAATTTATTTTGGGACAATCGAACATGAATTTTAAGCCACCATGTCTGGGACTGAAATTACAGTCAACTACATAGGAGTAGAGTTACATAAATATTACATCATCTGCTGAAC